GGAATCCACGGCCCTGGGCAAATCCCCCGTCCAGGAGGAGCCGTCTATCCACGGGAACTTCGGTTCTCACACTCGGATCCATTGGTGCGTACGCAAATACCCAGGCCTGGGAGCAAAAGTTCCAAGCGCTACATCACACCAGCCCTTCAGAAGAAGAGGAAGAGGCTTCTGGCAACGAGCAGGATGGTAACGAACATGACGATGAAACCTCGCTCGGTAAGCGCTCCCGGCCCAAGTCGAAGACTCCCGCAGGGAAACGTCCCAAGCGACTCGCTCCTCCGACTCCTTCTCCAGGCAAGTCAAACACCTCGCGCACTCCCCGGGAGAAGACTGCGCCAGCGCTTTCTGACGTTTCCTCGAACGATGGGAACGCTCCTCCTCGCCGGGTCAAGTCCTTGTCGTGGCTCCCAGCGATGGGGTACGAGGGGTACCATACGGATACCCGACTGGCCAAGTCCAGGATTATTTACAACACGCGCGTGCGCCGGACCAGCACTCGACTCAAGCACCAGAATCGGGGTTTCCCAGATTACGAGGTTATGAACGATGAGGTTCACTCCGTAGCAGAACGCTGAGTATCAAGACATTATCGAGACCCAGGCTCCCTGGGACGACATGTTCGATGAGCGTGTCCGGGTGCTGTTGTTTGTCCGGGACACATTGTCCCCCGAGTTCACGGACATTGCCAAACGCTATGTCCTGTTTATGTGGGTCTGGCGTCGGGAAGAGTGGGAGCGCACTCACTGGATTGTGTTCAACCGAAACGTCGAAGCACATGCTCCTCTTCACCAAGATCGCGCTGGGCGCCAGCGAAAGTACGAGAGAGCCCTCAAAGACGTCCGAGCGGACGTGGCCACGCTCCCTCCCCCCGAGCGCAAACGATACCGGACCGAGGCAGCGTTTTGGCGTCATTGTCGAAAACCGTGCGTGTGGATCCCTATGGACCCGAGAACAAATAAGACTCTTCGTGTTCAACTCGACCACAAACATGTACTCACTTGTGTCCCAGAGAGTATTCTTGTCTGGGAGCACAAGACTTCCGGGGAACACTCCGGAGTCTACCGCTGTAGACTCTGGATCCGCGCCCCAGGGGATATGCATTTCACTCATGTCCTGGGGAGTGTCCTCACCCAGGAACATGAGGCTTCTGGGGAACACTCCAGAGCCTACTGCTGTAGGCTCTGGGTCCACGCCCCAGGGGATATATGTTTCACTCATGTCCTGGGGAGTATTTCTGGGAACACAAGCCTTCTGGGGGACGCTCCGGGGCCTACTGCTGTGGACTCTGGGTCCGCGCCCCAGGGCTCTACCGGACTTCTTCGTCCGGGAGCTCGTCTCCAGACTGCATGGCCTGGAAACGCACGCGAGCTCGTTCCCCTTGGTCGAACTCGTAGAGGAGCCTTCCGCAATTGAGGTGTCCCTGGGGGACCCAGTCTGGCACTTCGTACTCTTTCCATTTCACTCGATACTCTTTGACGCGCCGGCTGGTGCGGGTCCGAGTGGCCCAAGCACATCAAGTATCTCTTCTACTTCGAACTCTCCGGAACCCTCGTCGGGTTCCCAACTGCCTTCACGGAGCAGCGCGGCGTCGAAATCGTCGTCCTCCGGGATATCCATTGGCTCCGAGGGCCGATCTGGGTATTTCGCTCGGGGCTTCAGCCGGCTGACGTGGACCCAGGGGTAAAACCGGTACTGGTCTACCGTCTGGACGTATGCCTTAACACTTCGGATCACTGTCTGTACTGACCTCTCTTGCTGCCCGTTAGCCTGGGGTCGATAGGCCAGGGTCGCGCGCTGCCTGCTCCCGAGCATCTCCCGGAAGTGCTTCGTAAGCTTCGGCCACGTCCTGGGCCTCGGTGCTCGCCATGGCCTTGCACATGATGAACACCGAGAACGCACACTGGAACAAGAGTAGTGCTGTGTTTCCCCGGGTTGACTGGGGTAACGGTATGACGAAGTCCATCGAGACGACTTGGAACGGTCGCGTAGCCAGCAAGTTGCCGGGTGATGAGCCTGGGTTCCGGGGTAACCCCTTAGCTGTGACACAATCCACGCACTCTTTGACATATCGCTCCGTGTACTTGAACATCCCAATCCAGTAGAATTCTTTGCGTAGTCTCTCACAGGTCCGGATGATACCCTGGCGAGCGCCTTGGAAGTCTGCGTGACAATGGTGCAGAATGTCCTCTTGGAGGTCTTGGGGAACCACCAGGCGGAGACGGTCGGCAGCGTCCCGGGGGCGTTCCGGAGTGTTTCGGCTCACATAGAACAACGCGTCCCGGGAGTCCAGTACGAGCTGGTTCGCTATCTTGGCTAAATGCGTTGTCTGCCTCAGGGACAGCCGTTCTGTCTCCCCC